TAAAATCAATCTCTCGCTCCCAGTTTTGTTTTCGGAGCATATCTCATCATAAACCGTTTAAAATATCTTTAAGAACCCTTGTACAAATATCAACCTATTGTTATAGTAGTTGTGCCCTTGCGGTTGGATATACTCGGAATTTGACATAATATGGATGTCTCCATGGAAACAACTTAAGACTCACTTTTTAGTACTGGATTATTATTCTCAAGTATCTCTCATAAACCGTTGAAGATATCTTTATACAACTTTATACAAACATCAACCTATGATAGCAGTTGTTCTATTTGCTAATTAGGGATATTAACTTTTGCGTTTCCATAGAAGGAAACAAATTTAGTTTTTGGTATAGAATTTATTCTAGGACCTGTCTCAGAATCCGTTCAATATCTTTATGCAAGGTTTTACGCTCATCAACCTATTAAAATACCATAGTTGTGTCGTTTGCTAATTTGAAATTTTAAGTTGAACAAAAATATTCTATGTATGAAAACACATTTGACGTAATTTATGAAATTTTGTTTTCAAACTTGCATCATTCGTATATCTGGGTCGTCTGCAAATTGGAAAATTTTCAGTTGAACTATTTTGATCTTTCTAAGGAAATACATTTGACTTTTGGTTATTTAAGATATCGTAAAACATACATTATGCAAGAGCTAAATCTGCCCATTGCAGGTCTTTCATTAGGCCTGAAATGTTATCTAAATTATTAATGAGACATTAATTAACTTATCCAGACCATAATCAACTCTCGATGGCATCGCTAGCCTGCGATGTTTATTGGATTACGTTCCGATTTGCTGTTCGACTTCCATTCATAATTAAATCAAAAAATGGATAATCGAGTCTATGTTTTGTTATCCTACCGACTTTAGTAATGATGATCGAGGCTAGCCCCAATATTCAATCGCTAAAATCTCAGTTCATAGTGGATTTTTTTGACTAAAATTTTCAGCGAATTGCCTTTACATTTTCTAGTTTTTAACTATTATAGTGAGAATTGCCAGCTCTTTATCTAATCTCCCATAATGTATCTTTAAGAAACTTTCTGAAATTCTCTTTTCAAACCTGGATTATCTATAGATCAATATCTGGGCAAATAACTGTTTCGGTCATTTGATAATGTAATTCTATAAACAGTGTCATTAAATTCTATATATGTCCACCATAATTTTTTTTGTCCATAATTATAAACCTATACAGGTAAATCTCTTTGATCTTTGGGGTATATTCTATGTCGGGAATAACTTGCGGTCTGAAAGTTGGGGATGGAATTGAATATAGACAGTGGAATTTGGGGTTATTCCTCTGGGGAAAGTCTTTCTTTAAACCTGTAACGGGTTATTCTTACAGCGTAGGTTTTTCTCCATAAGAAAACATGATTTAAGAGGTTTTTTTACTGGAATTCTGGGATATTCTCATTTTACGTACATTTAAACATAGACGGTTTATAAGCAAGATAAAGTCCTCGACTTCGGTTATGCTGGGGTAGAAAGACTAGGTTTTTATTTTCGCGGGTTATTTTCCTCAATCTTTCTTTCCCCAGCAAAACCTCAGTCTTGTGCTTTATCTTACACATAACCCACTCAATTCCAATCTGTTTCACGGAGCTATTGCCAAGACTAGTAGCTCTGTAAAAGATGACTAGTTTATCATGTGACCTCACATCATGCGGCTTCAATCATTTGGCTTAATTGCGCGTGCATTTTTTTACATAAGGCGCTACTAGTCCGGACAGAATGGTTCCTTTTACTCATTTCACGTACCCATTGACACTAAATAGGAAATATTTTTTACCTACATATACTTGAAACACCTTTATTTATTTTTCTAATGCTTAAAACAAGGCTCTAGAATTTAATTTGCAGAAGTAATAAGGGTAATATTTGGGGCTCATTAAGTCGCATCGCTGTCATCCCAATCAGTGACTGTAGCGGACTAGCGAATATTCACTGCTGATCAGTGTGACTCAATTCATGTGTACCATGGCTTGTTAAAATGTGGAACTACAAGCTTTTGATTAGGTTTTTTACTGTGTGCCTGAAGAATAAAACATCAAACAGGTAGAATTTCGAGGATGCCTGATGATATTTTATATGATATGCACAATCTGATTAAAATACAAATCTATATTTAGTTTCGTTTTTTATACTTTCGATGGCCTACAATATATGAAGATCTGATCAGTTGTATTCGAAGGTCGCGACAGAGGTCATACGAACGGCTTTTGATCCTATAACGTCAGACATTTGATTAACCAATCAGCGTTGATGTTTCTAGTGGGTTACCTCACGCCAAAAACTCGCCGTAACAGACCGTTTCATTGGCTAATCCCTCGCATCAATTAGAACGCGGGTAATATAACAACTCTTCCAGATCCTAGTGTATTAAAGACAAGTAAAACGAAAGTTTGAACTATAAAAAAGGGAAAGAAATAGGATCTGTGTTGCTGCTTTACCTCGTTGGGGGATTTGACACGGAGCGACCATTTTTAAGTATTCATTGACACTAACACACAATCTCAGCCCCAGAGATAACTGAAGTATCTCCAAGCCACTAGAGGTGACGGACCAGCTAGAGGTAAAAACGCAACACTCTAGACCATCCCAACCCCCAAGTTACAATCTCTAGCGATTAATAGGATTCATAGGGAGTGTTCGATTGTTAGTCCGGAGCGTCCCGAATTGACAGAATTGCAATCAAGTGATGCGGAATCCAGGCATGTCACAGTTCTGCCAGTCGCAACAGCTGAGGTGATGTGAGTAGAATCATGACGTATTTTAAGTAACAAATATGTTTCAGCTTTCATGCTTGGTTAAGATATTTTTTATGCAGTCGGCACATGCGTTGTACTCCGAAATTCTCCTTTTCACTCGATTGACACTAGTTTTGGAATTAAGAGAATTTAATCCCGGAAAGTTCAATCGAGTATCCCCTTAGAATGTATGGCATGGGAGACAACTCACTTCATTCATCTTGATCCACATTTCAATTTAATTCAATATCAAATTTTTCTTAGGTTATAAAATGAGATAGGGATTGACGTTCTACTCTTCTGGACGAACCGGGCTAATGAAGGTGGGATTACGCCATGCAGTGTAAACACTGATCACATCAACATTGCACGGACAAATATATTTGTTGCTCAAAACTATAAACGTTATCGGCATATCGGGGAAATGGCTTTTTTTTTTAATTTTCTGCATATCAAATGTACAGTCATTAAGGCGAATTCGTCTTTCCAAAAAGTTTGAATTGGGAGTGCGACTAACGAGTATCCACTGACCTCTGGCTCCATCAATCTGTGTAACACCATATTTTAGTGAATCTATTGGTCTTTCTTTAATTTACTTATTTTGACCTCCCTAAAAAAAATTAGTGAATCTATTATTTTGAACCCACTAATAATAATTTCATTTAAAAAGATGGCCTTAAAAAAGTACAATGTCTTATATGGGTGAGCCGCAGTGGTTCAATGAGTAAAACGCTGGCTCGCCAACTAGGGGTGCGGGGTTCGATCCCTGTCAAACAAAATTAGATGAATTGGGGTTTAACGTCCTACTTTTCTGCACGGGCTAATGAAGACGGGCATACAGTGTGCTATGAGGAACACTTTGCTCGGACAGTGGCGCTACGGCCTACTCATATCGAATTCCAAGTGTCAAGGGATCTTTTATGTGCACGACAATGTGTACACAGGACTTCAGTTTTTCGTCCGATCTGAACCACTAGACAGCTATCCTTGCTATCACTAATATCTGTTGAGGTCACGGTGGCTAAGTGGGTAAGACGCTGGCTCGCTAGCCTGGAGATCGGGTGTTCGATCACTGCATTGACCGAGAAAGTTCACCCAGATTTTCCGGCGTGGTTTCCCCTTGTCAGTGATGCAGGACGGAGGGCCTGACAAAGACAGCTGTCTAGTCATTCGGATGATACGAAAAATCGAGGTCCCGTGTACACATTCGCGTGCACGTAAAAGATCCCTTGACAGTTGGAATTCGATATAAGAGTAATCCGGGCAAAATTTCCCTCATAGCACACTGTATGGCGTATGCTCGTCTTCATTAGCCCAGTTCGGAGCAACAGGGTAGGACGTTAAACTCCATTTCATTTCATTTCATTTCACTAATATCTGTTACATATGTGTACAAAGCGGTGATTGTTTTCTGTTGTGTTTTTTTTTTTTTAGCTCGGCTTTCATACAAAAATCAATATAATACAGCTGTGGGAATATCAATTGAAATGAATTACTAATGTAGGTCTCGCAAATTTCAACTGACATGAACTACTAATGTAGGTCTCTCATATTTCAACTGCATCATGTTGTAAAACCATCCAGTCGGGTCTTTGTCTGATTAAAAATTAAATAAAATACAATGAAGTTTAACGTCCTATTTTTCGGCAGCGTCTGGGCTAATGAAGTCGGGATTAAGCCATGCAATGTGTTATGAGGGAAATGAAATCAAATGAAATGGGGTTTAACGTCCTAGTGTTCTGCTCGGAACTGGAGTAATGAAGACGGGCATACACCATACAGTGTGGTATGAGTGAAATTTTACCTGGACAGCGGCCCTACGGCCTACTCTGATATCGAATTCCAACTGTCAAGGGATCTTTAACGTGCACGCCAATGTGTACACGGGACATCGGTTTTTCGTCCCATCGGAACGACTAGACAGCTGTCCATGTCAAGCCTTCCGTCCTGCATCGCTGACAAGGGGGAACCACGCCAGAAAATCCAGGCTAGCGAGCCAGCGCCTTACCCACTTAACCACCGTGACCCTCGTGTTATAAGGGAGATTGTGCCTGGAAAGTGGCATTGCGGTCTACGTCCAACGGTCAAGGGTTCTTTTAAGTGCACGTCAATGTGTATTGGACGCGGACCATGTTCGGACCCTCCGTCCTGCATTCTTGACAAGCAGAAAACAAATCTTGTTTTTATCCCAACATTCAATCTCTTGCAAAATACGATTTACAGATCGGTGATAATTCTTAAATTAAACAAAAATAATCCCATTAGGCAATTCCTTTAAATACACTTTAAAGATGCATTATGTAAGAGCTAAATCGGCCTACTGCAGCTTCATATGTTATATAAACTATGAATTAGACATTGTTTCATATGCCAAGCCCATAATTAATTATCTACGCTCATCGGATAGTTTAGATATTCAATGGATTAGAACCCTGTCGCCATTTAAAATTTAACAATCAAACGGTATTATCGAAGCAATGGTACTCGGCAATCGAGACTATGTTGTTAAAACCTCAAGCACTCATAACTTTGCTCAGAACAAAATTAAATTGAATGACATTTTCAATATATTCATTTTGCAATATCTATTTTTGAACTATTAAAGCAAAAAAGGGTCATCTCATTATCTAAATCTTAAATAATGTATCTTTAAATTGTAGAATAAATTTTAAGTTTAAATCTGATGGAATCGTGTTTGAAAGAAGCTAACCCTTTAACTCAATAATTTCCGTAAAATTCGAAATTAAAAACTCGAATAATTATAATTTCAGTTGTTATTTTACCGTGAAAATAGCGGATCCTCAAACAAAATGTGTTAACAACTATCGTTCAATTGACATTAAAGTATTAGTAATTACATTAAAACATTTAAAAATTGAAAATAAATCCCGTTATATACATATGTGCTCTTAGATCCTAAGTGGTTGGGTGGCCGAATGGTTAACACGTGCGCGCTGAATCATAAGTCATTGAGTCAACCGGAATCAACCGTTTAGGACCGGAATCAGCCGTTTACGCTCTGGGTCAACCGTTTAGGACGGGGACAGCCGTTTAGGACCGGAATCAGCCGTATATGCATTAAAAATGCATTACGTAAGATCAGAGATGGCAGTTCTCGCTATAATAGTTAAAAATAGATTAGATAAAGAGATGACTGTTCTCGCTATAATAGTTAAAAATAGATAATGAAGGGGGAAATATGTTGAAAACCAGCCAAATTACTTCATTCTGGGCTAGGTTAGGCCTGTGTGGTGAATAGCAGAGCCTCGATTGTCATTGCTACCGTTGTAACGATAGTAAATATAGTCTAGATGATCCATTTTTAAATTAATCAATTACTGCAAATCGTTTTTATCTCGGTTGAAAATCAAAGTATCCAATGTCCTACAGAGTTGATTATGGCCTTGGCATGTTAATAAATGTCTAATTAATAATTTATATACCATTTAAGTCACAACGAAAGAACTGCAACAGGCCGTTTTAGCTCTTGAATATTGCATGTTTATTGAAATTGATAAGAATTTTTTCAATGTTTACGTCTTATTTGTATTTTAATTTATTTATTTTATTTGTATATTTAATTTATGTACCATAATTTGTAAAGCGCACGTGGGCATTTAGTCGTGGAAGCTGTGCGCTATGAAAATGTACAATTATAACAATAATAATAATGTATGGCCGGAATCAGCTGTGTGTCACCGGAATCAACCATTCATGACCGGAATTGATCGTGTGTATCCGACATCGACAGTTCGTGACCAAAATCATCTTGTCGCTGGAAATCACTGGGTGTTTAAGACGTAATCGAGCTGGTTTTCGTTGGGTTAACAGCTGGAAACCAGAGAGTTGTCCCAGATGAAGTCGAACTGCTTTATCTTGGGGTGACAACTGGAAACCATGGGGTTGCTCTAGGCGCAGCGGAACTGGTTCGTGTTGAGGTAACAGCTGGAAACCATAGGGTTGCTCTAGGCGCAGTGGAACTGGTGTATGTGTGGATTACAGCTGAGACCATAGCGTTGTTCTAGACGACGTCGAACTGGTTTGTGCTGGGGTGACAGCTGGAAGCATTAAGATTGTTCCAGACGTAGTGGAACTGGTTTATGTTGGGGTGACAACTGGAAATCATAGGGTTGTCCTAGACGAAGTGGAACTGGCTTATGTTGGGGTTATAGCTGGAAACCATAGGGTTTAATGCCGAAATTGTTATAATATTGTGCCAGTCATTTTGGGGAATCCAGCAGTGATATGTAAATGTCACTCTCGTTGTTTCAGATGGTGTAGAAAAGTAGGACGCTAAACCCCATTTCATTACATTTCTGCTTCAGCTTCTGTTTAAATCGTAATAAGCAACCGGACTAAAACAAATGAACCGGACACCAAGAAGCGTAGTGAGAAATAAACACAAAAGTCACATGTACATAATACTTCGTTCTCCTAAACATTTCTGCCAACATTTTGGTAAAGAACAAAACAGCATGATGAAAGTTTCTCGAAACTTAGCACTCATGGTACAGTAGAGTACAAAGTTAATAGCATTATTTAACAAGGCCACAATATCCATTATATCTCCCAGTGGTAAGTATACAGTATCGAAAAATCTGCGTTTACAAGCGCTGATCATAATTAACACACCCTGAGGGAATTCAGCAACAACGAATAATATTATTACTGAAATTAACATCACCGTTGTGCGAGAATGTTCACGAAATTTCATACCACTTGCTTCCGAAAATGTCATGATTATACGGCGCCGTTTCTGCACATGCATTTGCATTTGGTAAACTAACATGGTTCCAAAGATTCCCATAAGACAACATGGTATCAATTTACCAACAATGGCGTACACAAAAACATTCACCAGTACAAGAAACTGCGTTTCCTGGGTACCAAGATTAAGGCTTTTTAACACATAGAATGTCGCGTTATACGTAGAAGTAGTGTTCGCGCCAGTTCCAAGAGGCTTCAATTCGTTGGTTAAAAAGTTTGGCACCATGATTAGTACCGACAAAACGTATATGGAGGCGATTATATACTTGGACTGCTTTATCCGGGCTATACGTATAGATCGGGCACGAGTCGGAGAACGAATGTGCAAGAATCTGATGATGGATAGCGACACACAGAGCCATATAGAAATTGTATGAGTTACCGTTGTCAAGTTGATATGGAACAACAGAAAGGTCATCCAATAAATGCTGTTCTTCTCTGGAGTACTGACATCCGTCGGATGAACACAATAAAAATGGACGGCAAAAGGCACATACGATAACATTGTGATTATATCCGAGATGGCCAATCCCGTTAGAATGTTGTTTACTGGAGTGTGCATGTGTGTGCGCGTTAAAACCGTGACGTTGAACACATTAAATAGAATTCCAGACACACATACACACAGACTGACATATCCATGATATGTAGAATACCACACAGAGAAATCTTCTAAACCAGAATTGACAACACTAATCCCTTTAACTGGTCTGTGGTCGCATTTCAGATTACTCTCAAGGTACCTGGAAAAATAAAACATAGAGATTCGTTAGGAGGTGTGTAATACTCTAAGGGTTATTTTAGTTTTATGAAAGGTGTTCTGTTTAATATATTGAATTGGTTAAACAAATGGGTGACAACGAGAATGGGCTAAGTAGGTGTTTTGCAGGATTCAACTTTCTTAGACTAACCCATAGACAGTCCCTGCCACCATTAATTGCTGAAAGGAGGGTACTATCGCCCAGTTATCTCGTGCACAACTTAGTCCAAATAAATATAATAATGTTGGCATAAACGGTGTCCATAGGAAACACTTACTCAAAAATGGTAATTGTCCCGCCCTAGTAGCTGATACATCTATATTTTCTATATAAGAAAGTGCGAGATTAAAGTTCTCTTCAGACATTATTCGGAGTTCCCAGGGGAACATCATACCCACAGCCTCCTTGGCTTAGGGGCCGGAATTGCTCTCGCCATAGAACGCGCGATTAATGATAGAGAACTTATATGTAGCTTATATTTAAGGTCATAGCTGTGTGTGTAGTTGCATTATGGATGTTATAAAGATATAAAAACATAGTTAACCAACAAAGCCAGTGTTCCAGATTTAATTCATCTCTGAAGTTTTATACACAACGTGAAGTCCAAGTTAGTTCCTAAATGACTATAGTGTCACATGTGGTCGAATGTCCTAAGGCGTACGCTTTGGATCATAAGGTCTATGATTATGTAAAGTAGCGTGGTGTCCATTCCAAGCTTGCCTATGCTCCGAAACAAAACAAAAACAATTTCGACGAAGCAATTAAGGATATGGATAGAGACACACTGTAAAGATAATTTTCCTTAAAGTCCAAACATTCAAAACTTTTAACTTCATATTTTATAGTATTTATATCATCCACAACAAAACACGATACAAGGTATTTTACTCGTAGTGCAGCGCCTACTCGTATTTCGAATTTCAACTGTCAGTGGTTCTTTTAAGTGCGCGCAATCGTGTACACGACATCCCAGTTTTTCGTCACCTCCGATGGACTAGTCCCCAAGCGAATATTCATTGCTGATCACGCTGCATCGTTATTCGTTATTCAGAATTCACATATGAATAACAATCATGTTTATTTACCAACTATACGTCATTTAATCAGTTTTCTACTGCTAAGGGAAACTTTGCAATCCATAATTCTATTGTTGCCTAGTAATCGTTTTAAATTAAATCCTGAAATATCCTCATTAAAGATACCTGAACACATTCATATGTGAATCCCGAATAACGAGGTGAAAAACTCGTAATTCGCTGCTTGAATAACAATGTGGACTGTTTGTCGTCTAGATATTTGGCATCCATCATTCTAGTGATGACTAGCTTCATATATGAATCCGGAATAACAAGTTGAATAACGACGTAGCATATTTCTCGTTATTCGTTATTGGTGAATAACGAAAAACGATTCAATTTCACACATACTGCCTTAATTTCAAGAAGCTTATGTTTTCAACTTACCTCTTGAAACTAGCAGATTTACAGTGTTAGATACTGTTTTGTTTTCTATTATCGAGGGAGAATTATATTTAAGCTGTGTTGTAACGAGTAAAGCGTTTGTTCTGACTTGAATTTCAGGGGGAAAAGCAATTAACCAAGAACATGGACATATCTAGGGAGAATTATATTCAAGTTGTTTGTGTGTATCATATTTCAAATACCACGAGTAGCAATTAACCGAATTTGTATTCATATCAAAAACAGAATAATAAAACAATTTGACACTGTAAAAATAGAGAATATAAAAAATGTAAAACAATGTTAAAAGGGTAAAACAATTTAGCATTATCAAAAAAGTGTAAAAAACATGGTAAACGAATTTAACTTTATCGAAACAGTGTAAAAAAAGGTAAAACAATTTAACACTGTGAAAACAATGTAAAAATGGTAAAACAATTTAACACTGTCAAAACAGTGAGTGATAAACCAATTTAATACGGTAAATACAATGTAAAAATTGGTAAAACAATTTAACACTGTCAAAACTTTCAGTACCGTAAAACATACATTAGACTATCATTAAAACATTCAATACCGTAAAACAAACATTAGACTATTTAGATATTAGTATTCTACGCATCCTGGCAAAAATTTTAATTTTTTAGAACACGGGAACAGTGCCTGCTAATATAGCCTAGTTCATGGCGTGACATTTTGGGGCGTGTCTGTTAGGGGTAACCCACCGCTCAAACTGTCTGGCAGTGGTCATTCATGATTCCTGTGGTGGTACTGAACACCTCCAATGCTGTTTTAGGTGACACACATTTCAGCTAATCTAGCCTAGCAGTGGTCTGGAAATTAGATAGCTCTTGTCAGGGATACTCCACCACTACAAATGTCTGGCAATTACATAGCTCTGAAGATGTACGGTACACTGCTGTACGATTTTCATGTGATACACTTTTGAGCTAATCTAGCCTAATTGGGGGACATAGAATTTTGGGCGTAGAATACCACACCTACCACCATATACCCAGGAGACTTACATTCTGATGATACCAGATAATAATACATTGATAGGGGAAAATTGGTATACGTTTCAGCTAGGTTGATCCCCTGGGCTCCTGGTCTAAATAGACACAACCAAGATTTTCACTGGCTAAGCTGCACTATCCATCAAATAACCAGATGTTTATACAAGCGTGAAGCCAAAACAGAGTATGGACTAATTCAAATTGACATTTTGGTGTTGAAAATATGTCATTGTAACATGTCAATTATAGAAAATAGTTTTAAAACACCGTTTTTATGTGAAAATGTTTCGATAACAGTAATTGAAACATTTATTTCTTCTGAGTGATGGGGTATTTATATGTCATCGTGTCTGAACAGTCTGTTAGTTCAGCGTAAAAACTATGATATAAAACAGTTTTTAACATTTCATAGTTAATTTAATGATTAATATTCCACGGTTTCCACATCGTTATGGGGGGGGGGGGGAGAAATGGGATTTAACGTCCACTCGACACAAACTAGGTCATTTCGGGACTAACATATGGTTTAATTTTATTTACATAATTCGCTTGCGCGCAGGGGTCTTTAGCAGTGGGAGGAAACCGGAGGACCCGGAGAAAACCCACGAGGTTGGACAGGCGACCCTACTCCTTGTCACGCACAACCGGGGATTCGAAACCACGCCAGTCGACTCAATGACAGACTTTATGATACAGCGCGCGCACGCTAACCATTCAGCCATCCAACCCCCCTCCACATCGTTTTATGTCCATCAGTTATATGTCTGTTGTGCTTATATGCTAATTTCCAACTATCACGATTCGTGCTATGATTGACATCGTGGTTTTAATCGTGGAGTAATCGTGGTGATCCTACCAAATCTTATCATTTATTGAAGTCAGTCTATATTACTCTTTCATATGTAAATAACATCAATCTGTCCATAATACATCATACCTTATGTATTGTAATAAATAACGCCTTTGAGGACTCTGAACATTTTCTTCTAATTTGACCCCAACATTCAGATGCACGATCTGCGACAATATCAAAACTCCCCAAACTTTATCAAAATTCTCAAAATTATTCGGAACTAAGGACAGAAACAATTCTGAAGAATTGTTTACTGCAGTACACAACTTCCTCGACATCTCATAAAGACTTTGAAAATTGCGTATGAAAATGTATGAAATATAAATCTTGTGATTGTGGTTTGTACATATCGTGTATATAGCCATCTTATAATTGAATCGTTCCTCTACTTTACTTTACTTTACTTTACTTTACTTCTACTTTACTTTACTTTTCATTATATATTTATGTTTGTACTTTTATGGAGAGGGGGTCTATAGGCTTCTGCCTGTTCTCCAATCCAGTTTCTGTGAATAAATATTGTTTAGAAAAGAAACTTCTAGAGATTCTGTCTACGATATCACCCTTGGTGGAAGTCGAGAGAGAGAGAGAGAGAGAGAGAGAGAAATGGGGTTTAACGTGCACTCGACACAAACTAGGTCATTTCGGAACTAACATTAATGGTTTAATTTCATTTCAATAATTCGCTTATTGATACAACGCGCTCGCGCTAACCATCCGCCCCCCCCCCCTCCCACGTTTTTCTTGAATAATGCTCATCGTTTATATAACCATGCAAAAACAGAACGTGGCTGTTGGGGTTTTTTTTGGAGGGGGGGGGGTATTTGGGGTTTTTTTGGGGGGAGGGGGTATTAGTTAAGTGTCAATATCGCTACTTTTCATACAATCTGATTAAAACACAGACCCCATTTCGTTTCGTTTTTTTATAGTTAAAAATTTCGTTTTATTTGTCTGTACTACACTAGGATCTGGAAGAGTTGTTATATAACGTGCGTTCAGGTTGAAGTGGGGGGTTAGCCAATGAAACCATCTGTTACGACGACTTCTTGGCGTGTCATGCACGGAAGTGTGGCTAAACCACTAGAAACGTCAATGCGGGTTTATTAATCAATGTCTGACGTCATAGGGTCAAAAGCCGCTCGTATGAACCCTGACGTGACCTTCCAGTACAACTGGTCAGATCTTCATGTAGTGTAGGCCATCCAAAGTATAAAAATAACGAAACGAAACATAGCTCTGTATTTTAATCAAATTGTTTTAAATTGATCTATTTCAGGGCCTACGGACATAAAACAGTGTCTGTTAAACCCAATTGCTTGTTACTGCTAGAGCCCAATTTAAAATATATAATTGAAAGGGTTGTGACATTAGCTCGAGGTAAGTTATGCGGTAATTGAAATTCGTATCGATATTTAACCTAGTCAAAATAAGGTGTTCTATCTGTTGTATTTAAAATCTCTGCGTGTCATTTGCATATGGCGGCAAATATAAACGCCCCCTGACTGTAACCACGTTAGCATTTTCTCAAGTCGAGAGAGGGGGGGGGGGTGTTAACGTCCACTCAACACTAACTAGGTCATTTCAGGACTAATACATGGTTCAATTTTATTTCAATAATTCGCTTGCGTGTAGAGGTCTTTAGCAGTGGGAGGA